TCACTGTGATTCCATTCCTCTTACAGGAGCACTTTCTCTAAATCCTTTACAGAAGTGCTTAACTAGCTTTGACTGTTCTTTTTCTTAATGTATGTTATTTAATTAGGTTCTTAGTAAGAAATTTAGAACACTAATTTATGAGGATAAATTCCATTTGTCAGAGCAAAAACGGATCTCAGGTAGCCCAGGAACTGAGGAACAGCTTTGATTTTTGCTAAAATCTGTGAGTCCACTGCTTTCGGATCCACTTCGCACTGCTCTGAAATCTGCTATCTCTCTTTCTCAGTGTCAAAGGTCTCGCCCTCCTGGTGTCTGGGTTTCCACAGCTTCTTCTTGAAGCAAGCACCAGTGAGGTGTTTGGGGATTTTCACTTTGCTGGTATCAATTTTTGTAGAGGTGGCAATGACAAATTTCTGGTGTGTTCTTTGTAGAGAAACACAATTAAGGCTAAGAGGCGCAGTCACAAGTAACAAGCCACTGGCCAACTGCTTCAGGAAGACCACTCTCTTGCCTCTGTGATGCCCGGTGAGGATGATCAAGATGGTGCCGGGAGTGATGCTAGCTCGAAGTTTCCTCACAGGCTGACTGAAGGGTTTCTTGCCATGACTCAAGAGTTTTTGGGGCACATCTTCAGTAGGGTAGTATCTAGGCATTTTTCGAAGCTTAACCACCCAGGTACCTCCATTCTTGTCCCCACTGACTGGTTTTGTGGTCATAGCAAGAACTTTCTCCTTTTTCTTCTCAACCTTTGATTTAGCAACTGTGTACTTTCTCTTGTACAAAGCCTTTCTGAAATACATAGTGGATCGGGAGTATCTACCAATTCCTCTAACCAGGACAGGATTTCAGCTGCAGTGGGGCTGCCCCTTGGACATTTTTGCCTTCACCTTATCCTTTTTAACCTGTACCACTGGCAGAAGCCTTCTTGGCTTCATGTTTCTTCTCTTTAGTGTCTGGCTTCTCAGCTTTTTCATCAGCCATCTTACAAGATGGGAAAGAGCTAACTGTTCTTCATGATCATGAAAAATGGAGTTACTGATCAATACTCACTTCATCTCTATTTTCATATATTTTTCTACCAGTGACAAAATTACTCAGGAGGCCTTATATTAGCAAGGTTTTCCCCCACTTCTATTTACAACACTGCAACAGTGCAGCTAGCATCTAATTTGAGGGATACTATAACATTGCTTGTCTCTGTAAGGACCCCAAAGGTTTGGCAAGTACAATTGCACAGACTTACACAGAGACAACAAAAAGGCAGATTTGTATGTGTTTTGCAAGGCACTGATCCCAGAGAGAACAGCCAAATGAAAAGCTCAGTGAATTCCTTAAATAGAAAAAAGAAGTTCCTTCAACTTTCCTGTAACTTGAAAAGAATTTCACTCCTATACAAAAACAATTGCATAATAAATGTGGATTTTCTGGAATCTGGTGCTAACAGTGATTATTAAAATATCAATTTACATGTTCTTATAGCTATTTTTTAGATGTGTCATTCTTGGCCACAAGTACTTAAAACAAATATAAGGAGTGACCAAAATAGATGATAAATGTTTAAATTTTTCAAAATATACTACAGACACATTGCCATTAATTTTTCTCAAAATACTCCTCCTCTCTCACTTCAAACACCTCCCCCATCGTTATTATCACATTTTCAGGCATTCCTGGTGGTCCTCCTCCATGAGTGTCTTTAAAGGTGACCACGGATACAGCGCCTACTGCTACAGAATGCCATACAGCAGAAAAGCAGGCTCATTAAACCATGACCAAGGGGCCTCCCGCCTTCTTGGCTGGACCTGACACCATGTGACGTACCACTCTTCCTCAACATCAAAAATGACTATGTAAAGTGAACATTTTGAATCAATTCAGGATATGGAGTTCCAGGACAGACACTTAAGGAGAAAAGACTTCCAGACAAATGAGTTCCAAGGGGGGGGGGTATGTTTTGGAGGGAATTAATGACATTGTGTCTTTTTTTTTTTTTTTTCATGTTTAGCACAGGGTGTACAGGGTCTCACTATGTAGATTGGACTCCTAGTGATCCTCCTGTTTTCAGCCTCCCATGCTCTGGGATTACAGACGCGTGCCACCATGCCCAGTCTCAACTGCCCTCTCAGCAGGCCCCAGGGGTGGGTCTGGCAAAGTACGCTGGGGATCGAACACTGGCCACTGAGCTCTGCCTAAGCAGGTTCTTTAGTCCACTGAGCTATCTGGCCAGACTGATATTGTATCTTTTACTACAATAATTTTTTAAGGGCCTGGGAGATGGCTCAGTAGAATAAGTGCTTGCCTGGCAAGCACAAGGGCCTGAGTTCAATCCCTGGTTCTGCCAAAATAATAATAATGATAATAACAATAATAATATTTTTTTAATTTAAACAGTCATTGTGTTTTTAATATGCCATTACCACAGCACCAGGGCTGCAGTCACAGAAGCTTTTAATAGAGCCTTAGCTATAGTTGAGCAAGCAAAGATGCAGAAAGGAGCAGAAGTTTTACCAGAGAGGAAATGGGTTCATATTTCACAGTGAACCATCTGACTTGGGGCCATAACAAAAACCAGAAAACTGGGGTGCAGACTAAAAAATAATAATAATAATGATAACAGTAATAACATGAAGACTAAGACAGAATCTCTGCATGCAGGGACTTCCATGCCCACACAAATATAGCATAAGGACTAATGGGCTAAAACCAACTAAGCCCTAAATATCAAAGAATAGGACAGCAATTCAAGGAAAGATGAGATTGCTAAGGGCTAGAGGGGTGTCAGTGACTGTTGAATTGGCCTGATCGCAGGTGTGTACAGCAGTGGGAATGTGGAATGGGCGTGTTTAAGATATATTTAAGATGGATACGTGCCCTGTAGGTGACCATTCCCTTTCACTAGTAGGAAAGTGGGAAAAAATAATGTGAAAAGTCTATTTTCTGTGGAAAAGCTCTAAGTCTCACCCCAAATCCATATTGTACATGGAATGCATCTCATTTATTCCAAACAAGGGAGTTTTCACTCAACTTGACCCAACAGGGTGTGGTGTAAATGAGGTTGTGGGTGTGTGTGCACTGTGAGATAGGATGGTGATAGGACCTGGTTCTGACAGCTTGAACTCTGCAGGCAGGGCAAACTCTATTTGCCTATGGGCTGGCTTCCCTCACATGAAACCCCACTATCGCCTGCGATCCCTGCATGTGTCACTGTGCACTTGTGGGGCAGCACATCCACACCCGGCACCAAAACTCAGAAATGGATAAATACAACGTGTACACTTTATACCCTCTAGACTGGGCATCTTCTTTCATGCAATTGAAAAATTTTAAAGGGCCACAGCATCACGTAAAGGTGAGCATAATCGAGCACCTATGGAGATGACAAAAACCATAGACCCATGCTGTCTTCCTCCTGCGAACGGGTACGAAACCGATAAAACTTCAGGAGCAAGAGACTTGCTCATGTTTTTGCTTCAGATGAGACCTAGATTCAGGCGAGGGTTGATCAGAAAAACAAAGACAGAGACAGAGACAGAGACACAGACACAGACACAGACAGAGACACAGACAGAGAGAAATATCACAAGTTTGAGACCAGGTTGGGCTACATATCAAGACTCTCTCTCCAAAAACGTTGATACTGAGCCATGTTTTATAACCACGTAACTTCCTATGTAGAATCCCGTCCCTCATAAGAGAACAGCTACGTACAAGAAGGTTTCCAGAGGGAAAATTTGTAGATAAACAAGTAAAGATAGTTTTCTTCTTCAGCAAATTTGACTACCAGCTTCAATTTGTAGAAGAGAGCAGGAAAAATAACAAACTTTAATTTACCTTTAAGCCTGCCTAAGCATTTATTTGTTTGCCCCAAGTGACAGTCTCTACTCCTTCTCTCTGATGAAAAAATTTATTATTTTAATGTAATTTCTGAGAATTAAAAAGCCCGGAACCAAGTAAAAGGAGTTATTTATTTTTCCAACAGTGGGGGCGTGTTCTGCTGGAAATGGAGAAGCATTAGACGTAGCAGGATCTGAGACATGAACAGCAACTTGCCAATTAAAGAGAGGCAAAGGGGTGGCCCTCCAGGGTCAGAGCAAAGCATGTGCGAAGGCAGAGGCATGAAATGTGTTGGATATTCTAGGAATATGGGAGCTGGAGTAGCAGCAGCATAAGGACATGGCACGAAGGACAGAAACAGAGGGGAAAGCTGGAATGCCCATTATAAAGGCCCCGGGGTGCCATTGCAATGAGTGAACTTTATTTGAGGGCTGCCAGTGAAAGAGTCTAAGCATAGCACAGCTGTGTTTATTGATATGATATGCTGTAGGCAGATAACCTTAGAGAAAATGCACTGAAACATCAGGGTCCCATGACCAGAGGGATCAGTTACACAATTGTGGTGAGAGTCCAGCGAGGGGAGCTGTGGCCAGGCCATAGCAGAAAGGCATTTCTGAGACATAATGACAAGGTTTGGTAACTAACTGGATTTGGGGGTGGGAAAAAACTGCTGACAACAGCCCCCCAGTTTTCTAACCTGATACGTGATGCTATCATTGAGAGGCCTCAGGAATGCAGAAAACAGGACAGATTTGGTGAGAGTCACTCATAAAACATCTTTCCCCTAAGCAAAACCATTACAGTGGGATCAGGTAAGGAAAGAAGAGGAAAGTGTTTCCACATTCCTATGAAGCCGCTATATGGAAAGCGAGGTACACAAATAGTTTTTCATCTGTGTGCTTGTTTGGTTTTACAGATTATTCTTTTTCTAAATCTGAGCAATGTCCATGTATGAACACACCTATTGCTTCAACTGGACCAGAAGTTATCCACATCATGTTGAGCTTGTTGTGATACTTTCAACTATACCAAGTGATGAGTCAGACCAGCTCCATGTCAAAGTGCCCTGCTAACCAGGCATTCAAAAGCTTCCCGGTGCCCAGCACAGGTTCAGGAAAGGAAGAAAGATAAGTCTTTGACTCCACCCAAACACACCTGTTTTAAGTAAAGCTGGACAGGTACAAATGCGAGAAGTCTGCTCGTCAGGTCCATACCTGCCTGCTCCTCTGCTCCTCTGCATTCCTGAAGACATGAAAGGCACAGTAAGTACATTTCTTACTTTCAACTTAGTATCATGTAAGTGGAGGCTTAGTACTCTGAGATACTGCCTATTATGGTCATATCACCATAATGGAAAATTTGAAAAAAAAAATTTTTCTCTTTCCTTTTTTATAGAATCCAGAATCTACAAGCATCTCAATACAAAAGTATATCATATCTTTAATAAAATTGCTTTCCACATCGTTTGATTCAGTTGTCTACACAAGGCAAGAGTTCCTAACCCCTAGCATGTGCTTGATCTTTCCTCATTCTTTAATTCTTTTTACCAAAACTCCTATTCATGTTCAGGCCAATTACGAAGCTGATTATCACAACATATAGGTGAGAGATTAGGTGTCACATTCTTTGCTTGAAATGGTGACCAGGTAAGCAAGGTTGGCCTCAGGCCCTGTCTGTGGCATTGCTTTTGGAAAGCTTCTGAGGTGCTTTCCATCTCAACTGCTTCAGCATCTCAACTGCAGGACCAGACAGAGGCCTGAGAGTGCAGAGGTGGACCCTATATCCTTCCAGCAGTGCTAGAAATGGAGTATATTTTTATAATAAGTTACGAAGGGTCGACAAGCAGATGAGTATTTTTGTGTTTCAATGAACTACACCTTGTAATATCTACATCTAAATGCTCTATAATGGGGCTTTAAATGTAAAATCAGTCCTTGAAATCAGTCCTTTTAATAGCAGACAGATTTTAAAAAGAGAGGAAAGGGTTCCAAATATGGGTTGAAAGATCTGATTGTCCTTTTGGTTCTACTGGGGACAAGATGTATGACTGTGGCCAAGTCACTTAACCTTTAAAGTTTAGCTTCCTATTCAGGAAAAGGATTACTTTGAACTTAACATTCTCTAAAATTTTTCCCAGTTCTCACTTCCTAGAAGACTATTTTTAAATCCTTTTAAGTCCTTCTGAAACTAATTTTAAAAATCTTCAAACTAATGAGAAAAATAATATTTTTACTATTAGGAGGATGTCTTTCCAGATCAATCAGGAAAATTAACTTATACCCCTTTTATTTCCAGTACTGGGGATCAAACTCAGGACCTTGCACTTACCAGGCAGGTGCCTATGCCACTGAGCTATCTCTCCAGCCCTCCTGAAAACTTTTTTTTTTTTTTTTTTTTTTTTTGCAGTACTGGGTATCAAACTCACAACCATGTATGCTATTTATTTTCAAAAGTATTCTTCATCAACTTTTATTTAGGTCAACATGCAAAGTGAAATTATTTATAATGAATCAATAATTCTATATTATCTTTAAACTTTCTATGGTTAAAAATACAAGGTAAAAGAAGAAAAAAAAAGTTACCCAACAAATTGGAAAATTAGTAAGTGTTTTTCACCAGGGAGGATAGAGAAAAGAAGTGGCCGTCACTGCCAAGTGACAGTGACCAATGTTATTTGTGATTTCAGATGCTTCTTGTGGGACTTCTTGCGCTCTGCATGACTCCTGGTCTGGCTGAATATGTAAGTTCCACTTTTTAAAGTGTATTAACAAATAGATTTGCAAGGAAATGTGATGTTAAATCATTCTCCATCTCTTCCTAACTTCAGAACATCAACGTCAACGATGACAACAACGTTGCTGGGAGTGGGCAGCAGTCAGTGAGCATCAATAATGCGCACAATGTGGCCAACGTTGACAACAACAACGGGTGGGACTCCTGGAACGCCCTCTGGGATTATCAGAATGTAGGTGGCCAACCTGAAATTTCCATTCTTTAAAACTGGTGTCTTTTTTGACAACAACAAAGAATATGACAGCTAACCAGAAAAAAAATAAAGACAAAATCTAATTGCATATAACAAAACAGTAATAAGTAAAAGAAATTATTTTGTTTACTGAAGTTTGCTTCCCACATAGAATTAGTAAGTGCTATTAGTATGGAATAATCAATTAAATGCAAACCAGTAGACAGCTATTAGGATTCACTATGTGCAAAGATTTATAGTGATATTAGACAAATATTAACAGCCTTAGTTTTGCTTGCAGGTAGCCTCAGTCATGATGACAAAAAACTTATATAACATTACCACTGCCCAAGCATAGTCTGTCTTGCTTTGTCTCCAATCTCTTTCTAAAATAGTAGAAACTGACATTTCACCTCTAATTCAAAAGGACCAGAAGAAATATACATTATACTATCAACTGGTAAAAGGAGGGAAAATAAAACACTTGACACTAGTGAGGAAACCCAGCCTGTAACTACTAGCTGTATATCTAACCAACTTTACACTTTTATACAAAATACGCTACTGTTTCAGGTGGGTCATCTGAAAAATTAGAAAATTAATTTTTGATTTACCTGCCTCCTTGAAATGTAAGGATCAAAGAAGACTAAATGCAATAACCTTCTAAAGTTTATTTTAGTAAAATGTACATATGTAGACTAATTCATCACAATAGAACTGAGGATAAAAGTCTGAATGTTATGCTTGTTCTCTTCCTTCCTGACTCTCTCTCTCTCTCTCTCTCTCTCTCTCTCTCTCTCTCTCCTCTCCTCTCCTCTCCTCTCCTCTCCTCTCCTTGCCCATCAAAGAACTGCAATCTGTCCTTGTCCCTAAAAATGTTAGCAGCAGGTACAGTTTCAAGATAATGCCAAACCTAGGGCTTTCATCTCAGCTCAGGACCTTGGAGCTCCATTTCCTTCTGTGGATGAAGCTGACTTCTGATAAGAGAAGCTCCTTGGAGAGCATATGGCTCACCACCTACTGTCTTCCCAAATAGGGCTTTGCTGCAACCAGACTCTTTGCCAAGAAAACATGCATCGTGCACAAAATGAACAATGAGGTCATGCCCTCTCTGCAAACCCTTGATGCTCTAGCCAAGGAGAAGGTAAAAATAAAGGTCTTTCATTTTTGGTGAGGGAGGTGAAAGGTCATGGTTATTCCCATTTGACCACAGAAGAAGAATAAGTAAAAAGTAATTTTTTGCTTATTCGAAATTTAAATGTGACTGAGTTTCCTATATTTTACCTAACAACATAGCCTAGATAGATGAGAATAGGGATCTCTGTTTTTTTGGAAATATTTGCCTAAGTTCATATTCTTACAATTGATAAATTGGTAGCTCTCATTGATACAGCAGAGACAATAAACATATTCTGACAATTTGATTATCACATAGCCCAACCCAAGGAATTTAAATGATCAAATGTCTGATTTAGAATAACTCAGACATTTGCTTTTATGAGGAGCAGATTCTTTTAGGACATTTAGAAGTACTAACACATCCAAACTAGAGCTGGCTCTGTTTTCATTTTGTTTATGAAAAAATTATAGTCAAGCAATCACCTTATTTTGGCCTTGTGCCCCTTAGCAAATCAGCAAACCACTGGGCATGGTACTCATTCTTACTATATTTTTGTCTCCGTGTGTTTTCTCCACATTCAGGGTAAAGGATCAGGGGGCCAGCCTCCAAAGGTTCTGAGGTACTCTGTCAGCTCTAACCAAGTTGATGATCTGAACAAATTTGGACAAAACATTGCTGGCATGTGCCAGGGGCTTCCAACATATGTGGCTGAAGAGATTCCAGGTGAGTACTCTCCTATCGTACATTCCACTGAGTGTTGGTAGAGTTGTCAGACTACCTTGGGCATGTCTGTAGAAGGTACCAGTGGTGTAGGGAATAGTTACCAAGGCTAGCACTTCTTTAGCACTGTTTTATGTGGTTTAAATATGTGAACTCATTTGCTACTCACAGAAATCTTGTATTACAAGTTCTTTTGTTAGTCTTTTTTATGGATGAGGAAATTGAAGCAGGAGAGAGAGAGAGAGAGAGAGAGAGAGAGAGAGAGAGAGAGAGAGAGAGAGAGATCACAAAGCGCATGACTGGGTCAATCCCAAGTGCTTTGGCACTATATCCTCTGCTTTTAAACTTTATAGAATGCTCCCTTTCAATAGTGCATTGAGGGTAAACTCTAGATAGATTTAAGAGAATGTATACATGCCTCCATAAAAGAATGTCAGTAGAGTCTGTTCTATTCTGTAGCTCAAACACTTAATGCCTAGACATTCAAAAATAGCTTACTCCAAAAAATGTGTCTCCCTAATAACAAAAAATACCAAGCAACTTCCTGGATCTCTGAATTGAGTGATTTTATCTTGATTGATTGACACATAGACAGGAGAGAGACAGAGACAGACTGACAGACAGATCTTGAAAGTAGTACATGCCTAGTTTGGAAACTGTGACACACCTTCACTGCCCATATAAAGAGTACTGAAATAGTCCTCTTCTTTTCATCAGAAACAAACCTGGCTTTTTACTCAGAAAAGTGCTACGATGCTAATATACTCTGGATTCTGAACATTTCCTTCTGTGGATCAACCATTCAAAGCAAATAAAAATTAAAAAAAAAAGGGAAGCCACTCAGTCATCTAAGTCATCAGAGTATGCTGTGTTGGAAGAAAAACATATGTTTTGATTATTTTTGTCATGTCATTCTGGTAATGTTTTCTGCTAGTCAATTGGATTTCTTTAAGGCTCAATAAACCTATTTAGCACTGCATTTGGTTCATACTAAGATATCTTATCATTCTTATTTGGAACCCATAGGATAATAAGTCCAAGGTGGTGGTGGCAAGTTGTTGGCGGGCAGTAGACCCAACTGTTAGCCTTTATTCAAAGCCTGTCCCCTATAAAAGAACCCCTTCAGATGCTTCAGATGTTTCTAACCACAGCGCTGGGAATTCTTCCAAGGCTATTAACTGCTATAAAGGCTGCTCTATAGATGCTATGCAAAGTAACATTTCAGATTAGCAAGGACAAAAATGCCCTCAGAGCAGCCTAAGCCAGAAAAGGAGATCTATTACAAGGAGATAGAATCACATAAATCTAAGGTTATCAAGAAGTGGGAATGGAGGTTTACAGATCCCAGACCTGCACTGCTCCCCTGCATCCCTGCAGGTGCTCGGTAGTCCTTCTCTGTTCCTCTCTAAAATCTACTTTCCTCTTCTTTCCATCCTGCAGATAGCTTTTTCTGTGCTCAGAGGAGTTGAACAAAAATATCTGCCTTGCACCCCATATATCTTTCTAGTTTAAGAGATGTCGTCATGCTCAATCCCAGCTTCAGATTTTCCTTGACCCCACTTTGGTTCAAAAGTGCACAACCTCCATTTGTTGATAGTAGGGAGAGTGAAGTCACACACACACACACACACACACACACACACACACACACACACCACAAGGGCTTGCATTTCAGGAGACAATTCTCAGAGAAAAAGACTATAAATGTGTGTTACAATAGGAACCTGCTGTTCATTTCAAAAAGTTCCTCCCAGATAATTTCTTTAAATCCCAGAGGCTAAAGGAAGACATCTAAGCCTTTCCAGGTACTGGGATGAGAAATATCAAATTAACCCTAAAAATCAAAACTGAAGATATTAATTTCCACAACTTGAAAAATACTTACACATGTATCAATTCTTAATGGGAGAAAATTTGCACAATTTACTTTATCCTAGCCCAATTTCACTGCTGTCCATATGAAATGAATTACCAGATTAGCAGTATTTTTTTGAATATCCCTAAACCATGGAAGGTAAAATCTGTCAAAGGCCCATCAAAGGTTACCAAGACACTGCCTTACTATAGAGTAAAGCAAAAAAAAAATGTGATTCATAAACTATACAATGCCATGTAACTGAGTTCTGAGAACTGATAAATCCCACAATTTATGGAATCATCTCATTACTATTTTGTGATTAAAAAACTAAATTCATTATGAAGGTACAAAAGTTCTGGATTCTATATACCTATCAAAACATTAAGAGGAAGATTGTAAAAATTGTAAGTAAAATTAAACAACTTCATTATCCTAGTTGAAGATTCCAAAATATATTTTTCAACAACTTATGCAAAAAAAGGTTAAGGTATAAAACTTTTAACTGCATTAAATTTATTTTAATGAACATATAAAATACTAAAGAATATATGTGCTTTTTTTTTTGTTTTTTGGCAGAACCAGGGATTGAACTCAGGCCCTTGTGCTTGCCAGGCAAGCCCTTATTCTACTGAGCTATCTCCCCAGCCCCTAGAATATATATTCTTCAGAGTATATGAGTTTTATAAAATTAAGCACAAACATGGACATAAATCAAATCTCAAAAACTTTGAGATAATTAGCTTTATAAAAAACATATTTTTCTGATATTTATTTAATTGAGATAGAAGAAATAAACCCCTTTAACTGAAGCAAAACAATTCCATTTATTTTGAAATTAAGTAGTATACATCAAAATCACCCAATAGCTAAAGAAAACTACATGGTTAAAACTAGAAAACATTTAAAATTATAACTATGAAATAATGGAAGCAACATATTTAAAATTTCACCGTAGTATCTACAGCAATATGTAGTAGAAATTTAAGGTTAAATCTTTATAAAAGGGGAGACACTAAACACCAAGTTAGCTTCCACCTTTAAAGATGAGGTAGGAGACCCAGTCCTAGCCCAGGTCCGGTGAGTGTGCAGAGAGTTTCCTGCTACCCTGCGCCGGCGGGACCAGTCCCAGCCCAGGCGCAGCGTGGGCCGGAC